AATAAACATAACTATATCTAGTATAGTCATCTATAAAAGTGATAAAATATTTTTTCCCACCTCTTGTTTGAATTGACTTAAAATCACAAATGTCACTATGAATTAATTCACGTGGTTCCGTACTTTTTTCAATTGAATGAAAAGGAGTTTTAGATAATTTTGCCTCAACACAAATTTCACATTTATGATTTGAATCAATGTCAAATTTAGGTAAATATTCCATATTAATTAATCTACGCAAAGATCCAAAATTAACATGCCCTAGTCTACCATGCCATAAATTTGAAGACTCAAGCAAGTAAGAAGAAGATGTAGTATTATTAATAACTAAAGGTACAACGGTCATTACATTTAACTTGAAAAGGCCATCAGACATGTAACCTTTTCCTACATACATCCCATTCTTAGTAAGTACAAATTTATCACTCTCAAATACAAGCCTAAACCCATTCTTACTCAATAGAGATCCGGAAATAAGATTCTTGCGAATATCCGGTACATGCAGCACATTGTTGAGAGTGAGTTCCTTTCCAGATGTCATCTTGAGTAAAATATTTCCTTGTTCTTCAACTTTGGAAGTTAAGGAGTTGCCCATAAAAAGTTGTTCACCATTGTCCACTGAAGAATAAGATGTGAACATCTTTTTGTCGGCACATATATGGCGAGTAACACCAGTGTCCACCCACCATTCTTTAGGATTTCTGACAAGATTTGCCTCGAAAACAACTGCAGAAAGATTGATGTCATCTACACCATTGGAAATCTTGTCCACTTCGGTCATATGGGCTTGAGCAGGCTTCTTGCTTGTTCTTCTTTTGCTTTTGCCTTTGCTATGGCAATCTTTGGCCCGATATCCCTCTTTGTCACAGATGTAACATTTGCCATTAAACTTGTACGTTTTATTATCCCCCCTTTAGAGTCTTGTGATGAACTTTCTCCAGAAGATTTTCGTTTCTTGGTTTTTGAAGCATGTTCCACCACATTTTCCTTAGACCCCATAGGATGCTTACCAGCCCGCTTTTCAGAATTGCGGTTGTCCTTCTCAATCCTCAAACGCACAATTAATTCTTCTATAGAAATTTCTTTGTGCTTGTGTTTGAGGTAGTTCTTGAATTCCTTCTAGCCTTTTGGTAATTTTTCAACTAAGGCTGCAACTTGGAAGGATTCACTGAGAGACATGCCTTCTACGCGAATATCATGCAGAATGAGTTGGAAATCTTAAGCTTGGCTGGTCACAGTTTTTGAATCAACCATTACAAAATCCAAGTATCTGCCAACCACAAATTTCTTTGAGCCGGCATCTTCCGTTTTGTACTTTTTCTCCAACGATTCCCAAAGTTCCTTTGCTGTCTTGATTGGACTGTAAACGTTGTATAATGTGTTGTCAAGTCCGTTCAAGATGTAGTTCCGGCAAAGGAAATCGGCATGTTTCCAAGCATCAACTGCAGCAACCACTTGCTGGTCAGTTTCATCCTCTTTCAGGATTGGAGCATCTTCACGGAGGAAACGAGCCAGGTTCAGAGTTATAAGATAGAACAATATTTTCTGTTGCCATCTTTTAAAGTCAGTTCCTGAGAACTTCTCTGGCTTCTCTTCATGATTTATTGGTACTGTCACCACAGGAGAGGCGGTTGGTGCAATTGCAGCCACCACAGTAGTACTTGTTTGGGCATTAGTTTCAGTAGCCATCAATTCTAATTTATAAAACAAAGTTATAATTAGAATTTACACTACACAGAAAATTAAACCAAATTCACAGAATTAAATTCTGTAAAAAATAAAAGAAACACGAATGTAACTTTTATTTTCCAATTAATTTGGAAAGAAAATAAAATTTTATTCAACCAAATTAATTCCACACAGGAAATTAAATTCTGTAAAATAAAAGAAATAAGAAAATAACTTTTATTTTTCAATTAATTTGGAAATAAAATAAAATTTTATGTAACCGAATTAATTCCACATAGAAAATTAATTTCTGTAACACTTCAATAATTAAAATACTAAAACAGAAATTTAAGTAATGAAAACTCAGAAAATAATTTCTAAAACTCAAAATTAATTTCTGAAAAAATTTCACAAAAATATATTCTGAATTGTTAATGACACCAGTATCGTACTACTAGTTGTCAAAGAAAATAGACAGTATATTACTACTATCTGTCAAATAGCATATAATCACTATTTGTTTTTCCAACCAGAATATTATTTTGTAAATCCACAGAAAATAATTTTCTTAAAAGAAGAAAAAGAAAAGGAAACAAACGAAAAATTCTGTAAACAGAATAATTCGAATTTGTCTTAAGATTGTTGGAACAATCTTCTGTATAAATAAAATAAATTGAAATAATTCAAACAAAATAAAATAAAACTTACAGAATTTATTTTGTTGAACCAAATAAATAATTAAAGACCAAGTCGAGTGTATGACACTCTGTCCTTAAGACAGATTCGCCCCGCTACGGTACTTACGGTTGAGTGGCGTTTATCTCCCAGGATACAATGATCTTCACAAACTTGTAGTAGCACTCAACGCAAATTTGTACGGCGAACTAGAACCTTGTGCTCTTATACTCTCTTTAAATTTCTCTAAAACTAGAATGTAGATTATAAATGAAAAGGAGAGAAATAGGACAGCAAATATATAAAATGTAGACTGATTTTCGGATATTAAGATTGCTAGAACAGATCTGTATATATAGACCCGAACAGGTGCTTCATTTGAAATGAACAGATATGGATTTCAAAAGAACAGGTGCAACAGATAACTAAATCTGTCTACAATCTGTAACTGCTGGACAGTTTTCAAACTGTCCAGATTTGAATCAGTAACTGCCTGGGTAGTTTGAAATGAATCTGTTTGAAATTCTGTATGGAATTTGAACTGTAGAAGGCACAAATTTTGGACTAAAATTTGAATTCAAATTCAAATTATAAAATGCAAAATTTTAATTAATTTTTTTCCCGCAAGAAATTTGAGAAAAAAAAACAAATAAATTTTGTCTAAAAAATTAATGTTAAAACCGACCCGGACGGACAGCGGCGTGCGCGTGCGTGTGTGGTGGTTTGGGCTAAGGTTCACTTTGTCCATAACTCCTCCCTTCTACAAACTTGGGGTGCCCCTTGTGGCCCAACCCAAGTGTTGTAGGCTAGAGCTTATAAACTCAACAAAACTCTCTTAAAATTTCAATGTGGGACAAGCCTCACAAGGAAACCCACATTAAAACTTTAAATGTTCATTTCCACGAACCCGTAAACGACGTCATGTTCCCATTCACTCATAAATGGCTTTGACAAACTGTCTTCACCGTATGACTTGCCACGCGGCAAGGAACACTTCACCTCTTCGGACCCGCCCTAAATGACGTTCGGGGCCCACTCAATTTTGGGCTCAAAGTCGGCCCAAAATAAGCCTATATAAACCATTTTTCCAACATTATTTTTTAAAATGGACAAAAACTATGAGTTTAAACTATAAAACAAAATTTGATTTGTTTATTGATTCATTGATATCCAATGAAATTAATTTTTTGCACAAACAATTTACTGTGATATTTACTAGATGAACAGTTTGGATTATCATTGTGGGTCTGGAATGAAACTCATAAAATATTGTCCATGAGGGATAGTAGTATGGAGAGAAGCCATTCATCGATATCCGATGAAACTGATTTTTTGCACAAATAATTTTTACTATGAGATTTATAAGATGAATGGTTTGAATTATTGTTGTGGGCCTGAAATGAGGCCATAAATAGAGTATGGTGAAGTATGGAGGATAGTGGTATCGAGATGAGTCATTAGCCTTGTTTGGTAGGGCTTATTTCTAGCTTATTTTAGCTTTTAGCTTAATTTAAGCTATTTTGATGTGTTTGGTTCGGCTTAACAATACAGTTTATAGCTTTTTGTAAGTAAAAAATCAGCTTATTCTTTGAGTGAGGGAGGAGAAGCGTAATTTATAAGTCAAGAATCAGCTTATGTTCACAGTTATAAGCTATAAGCTGTTAGGTTATAAGTTATAATCACTTTCCCACAGCTCTACCAAACGGGGCTATTCTCGTGTTGTCACAACACCCATGCTGTGACGGCTCATCGAATTTATCCTGAATTTATTTTGATGATCTAAATTGTTTATATTTTAGATTTCATTGAGCATATCATCTATATGAAAAATGAGGTTAATTAGATGTGCGTAACCCGATGATCGATGATCGGGCTCTAATTGTTTTGTAAAAATTTATCAAAAATTATGCTAACCATTTATTTTATTTAAACATAAATGTGATCTTGTTATGAGATTACATATGTTCAATTAACTCGTTTTTTTCTATGGATGATCTACTCGACGAACCTTATAATAAGAACGATTCGGATCATTAACAAATATTTAGGACACACTCCCGGTCTCAAAGCATGGGTGTTATGCCTACCCATACTTGTTTTTGGGAAAATTGGTGACTTATTATTTTTCTTGATTCATATAATTGTGTTATTTCATCAGCAATTTTTAGGTCAATTGGCGACTTAACAGGTTTGATATATCATTTTCTTGATTTATATGTTTATGTTATTTATTTTTTATTTTTTTTTAATTTTGTAATTAATGTGGGTAAGTGGTGCAGGTGGGAGGATATAAAGTAGTTTATGAAGGATTAACTTTCACAACAGTTAGAGGTGCTGGTCATCAAGTCCTACAATTTCAGCCTCTTAGAGCTTTGGTGCACTGCAGAAATGCAGAAATGCACAGAAGAAATCAACCAAAACATAAGCCAACATCAGAAATGCACTGCAGCCAAAACGACCCCCACAGCCACAACCTGCGCATTGCCACCAACACCCAATACACCACAGCAGAGTTCCTGGGCTTCAAAGCCCACAGAACAGCCCACTTCGCTGACAGCAGCAGTAGCAAACTAAACCCCATGCTGCCTTAGGACAGTGCCATGAGATAATACATCACTTCGCAGCCCCCAACAGAGCAGCATTCCATTTCTGATTCATCACTCCTGACTAGCAGGTGATTGGTTGTTGGACACCCTCCTAAACTCAAAATTGGATTGCCCCACTCCATTAGTAGATTCAGTGATAGAGTTGCTACTATTATCAGCCCAAATAAGTGGAGCTTCAGCCCTTTGGGCCGACCCAATCCTACATGTTTCAAAATGGGCCCTGTTTAAATTTACTTCCAGGTTAATTCCTGGTTGCTTCCCAACAGACCCACTCGTGCTTCTTATGAACCCAGATGTGACCACTTCATCATCAACTCTACAGCTACCCTCCTTGCGTGCGCCACCCTTCTCTGACACTCCTTTACAGAGCTTCTTTTCAGCGCCCTCCTTACGTGAGAAGCCTTCCCCTGACACTCCCTCCATCATGTCTGTCTCCTCCACCACCGAAACCACCCTCAAGCTGGCATCCTCCTCCAAGTCATTCGTGTTAACTTGTGCATCCACCCTAACCCCTTCTTCCACATCACAGTCTTTAGCCACCTCATCACCCATATGGACTTCCACGTCATCCTCTTCTACCTCTTGTCTGCTGCCTCGATCTGCAATATTCTCAACTTCTTCCTCTGAACTGTAGCTATCAGCGTTGTTCCTCATGAAGGATTGGCAGATACAATATTCTTTTACTACTTGTGACACTATAATTTGTTCCTCACAGATCCGGACTGGGTATAGGATACCTTTGCATTCTAGATTTAAGGTATGATTAATGGCGCCCATGTGCCTTGTTGCTACCTTTACCTTCCCGCAATGGAAGGCTTTCAGATTAGCTGTATCTTCGTCCAATTTCAGAACCTCACCCCACTCTTTACCTATGCTGCAAAACGTGTTATTGTTCCACAGGACCAGTGGCACACCATAACAGCTTAACCACACCTGCCTCACCTGTTCCAGGACCATGCTGTCTTCCCATTCCTCAACCGATTCACACCAAACTGTAAGCCAGTCCTTCATGAACGGTAACTTTTCCTTCATAGCTTCCACTGATTGAAATGAGAGCACTAATTGTCTTCCACCACCGACTCTAACTGTGATATCTCCATGTCCTCGTCCCTGTAACTCCTCCTTAAAATCTTCAACTGAAAAAATTGGCTTTAATCTTACCACTACACTTTCATGCAGCCAACCATTACCAACTTTCTGTACCTTAATAGTGCGACCTGAAGTAGATTGAAAGTCCCTGCCGCTGACCACATCAGCATATGACTTTCTCCCTTGATGGGTATCATGTACAGAGTATATGCCTTCCTTAACCCACCTCTTCTGTACTTGTTGTGACTTGCTTTGCTTATTTTCACACTCCTTCCTGAACTCAGCCATTTTAACCTTTAGCGCTTTGTCATCACACCAAAGGCCATTTGCTTTTTGCAGAGCCATACTCGCTGCTACCGGACAACCATACCTTATGAATCCAAACCTGGAACCTGTAGATCTTCTTCTCTTCTGTGGAATATACGCATCCAATACAACTCCAAAGTTGGAGAAGAGTTTAGACAACCCTTTCGCCCCCATAGATGCTGGTATGTTATCCACAAAAACAGAGTATATGGTATTCCCCCTTTGACCCCCAACTCCTCGATCCCCATGTCTACGAACCACCGGTTGCCATCCTCCATTCCCCTGCTTACCAGCTGGCCTTACGATCTCCTTGATGTGTATTGCTGAGCCCATGTGTTTGACCCTTTTTTGTTTTAGTCATCAAATATTTGATGCAAGCTTGTCCATTGGTTTGGGTTTGGCCATATTATAGGTCAATTGGTGACTTAACAGGTTTGATATATCATTTTCTTGATTTATATATTTATGTTTTTTATTTTTTATTTTGTAATTAATGTGGGTAAGTGGTGCAGGTGGGAGGATATAAGTAGTTTATGAAGGATTAACTTTCACAACAGTTAGAGGTGCTGGTCATCAAGTCCCACAATTTCAGCCTCTCACAGCTTTGGCCTTACTTAAGATATTTATTACTGGAAACTATTAATGCTCTGAACCTCCCTTAAACTAAGCTAAATTTGCTTGTGATCAAGTTAAAATAAGTTCCAAATATTTCATTCGATTACAATTTTTAAATTGTAAGATTGAAATGTTCAATTTGAAGTAATGCCATTTCCTCATATACGTTAGAACCTAGCGGTTTTCTATGTAAACGTGTGTAATTTAATTATATAAAATAAAGAACAGAATGAAATAATTCATAAAATAATTTAATAAATTAAAATATGAATTTAATCCTTCTAAAAAATAATTTAATAAATTAAAATCTGAATTTAATACTCACAGCGCGTACAAATAGATAACTTCAAGTCGATATTTGTGTTGGACACAATCTGCTTAAAGTAGATTTCACTCTTGCTCTGGTGTTTCAAGATTTACCGGTGTCTGTTTTCTAGGATGCAATGACTAATCTTGAAGTTGCAGCACTACAATTTAAAGCCTGACGAACTAAATCAGTGTTGTAATTCTCTCTTTCTCACAAACTCTTTCTCATATCTAACTTGCAGAAATTACGTAGAACAAACGATAGCGAAAATAGGAAAAGGAAGAAACGAAAATGAAAGAAATCTGGAAATGATTGAATAAGGATTTGAGGAAATGGAGCAGGCTATTTATAGCCTCAAAAGTGCCAGTTCGGAATGGCGGAAAAGGCAACCGGTTGAAAGGGAAGCGACTGAACAATTTGAATTTAAATTTTAGCAGAAAACGAATTTGAAATATGAAATTCATGCAAAAAATTTTTTTGAACCTAACCTTGGCTCAACTGGTGGCGCGTGTATGTGGTCAATTTGGATTCAAACCATTTTGTTCATAACTCATCTCATATAAGGTATGTCTCACTTTTTTTTTCTTAACAAGTCTTACGTTTATGCTAAAAAAATTATATTTAATTTTGCAATTGATTTCAATGTAGGTAAAAGTGTTAGCTTTTGATAAAACTCTCTTTAGAATGAACTATGTTTTGTATTGAATTTTTATCACTTATTGATTCACATTTATTGCCTATAGGCTTACATCCTTTTATATAGAGAAGGTTATACATAAGTTCAATTAATAAGATCCATGAACCTAAACAACCTTATAATTAATTAGGTACATGAATATAATCTAGACAATGTACTTAATAAATATAAAATACATGAATACAAAGAATGTATGAACTCAATGTATCCAATGCATGCAATGTATCCAATGTATCTAATGTAAATATGGCATTAATTTTAACACTCCCCCTTAATGCCATATTGTGTGACACCCAACATTTCTCTAAAAAATCAAATTTGTCCCTTGGGAGAGCTTTGGTGAAGATGTCCGCAACTTGATCTTCAGTCTTGCAATACTTGATTTGAATCTCATCATCTTCCACAGCTTCTCTAATAAAATGATGTTTGATAGCAATGTGTTTGGTACGAGAATGGTAGACGAGATTCTTTGCCATAACAATAGCAGACTTATTATCACACATAATTGGAGTAGCTTCACCTTGCTTCTCACCAAAATCATCCAAAATTCTTCTTAGCCAAATTGCTTGTGTAGTTGCCAATGATGCTGAAATATATTCGGCTTCAGCAGATGATTGTGCCACAGTTTGTTGTTTCTTGGATAACCATGAAATTACCAAACAATCCTTTCATTTCTTTGATTCTCTCCCTGTATATCTTCCCCTCTATCTCAACCATCACCAATCTCAGTAACTCGGACACTGAGTCCCTCGTGAACCACCCGTCTTGCTCGTATCTGGGTACCGAGTATCCCATCTTCTTCTCCTCCAGAAGCCTAGCATTCAATCCCTGCTCTGCCAAGAAAGTCAACAAAATAAGAGCCTTCTCGAACTCCAACGGTGACTCAAATTTTTCACCAAATTTGAGTAAAAAATGACCTCTCACCACCAAGACGTGAAATTTCTAACTGGACTACGATTACGGTTACGATTTCGAAAACTCATGCTCGAAGTCGATCAGCGAGACGGTGAATGGCTCGCACAATTTCACGATCAAGGGGTACTCGCTTGCGAAAGGAATGGGTTCTGGGAGGTACATATCGAGCGATACGTTTACAGTTGGTGGATACGAATGGGCAATTTACTTCTATCCTGATGGGAAGAACATTGAAGATGGTTCAATGTATGTGTCTGTGTTCATCGCTTTGGCGAGCGAAGGGACTGATGTGAGGGCATTGTTTGAGCTCACTTTGTTGGATCAGAGTGGGAAAGGGAAGCACAAAGTTCATAGTCACTTTGATCGTGCGTTGGAGAGTGGTCCTTATACTCTCAAGTATAGAGGAAGCGTTACGTCTGAGAAAAAATACTAAGAAGTTTTTGTATATTACATTGATTGGAGTGTTATGTATGAAAAAGTACATTAAGAAATTTTGTTACATTAGAGTGTTATTTTTATAGAATGTTATGTTGTTATGTTTGAGAAAAATACACTAAGGAGTTACATTTAGTAATTTCAACATTATGAGAAAATCTATATTTGTCTCTCAATACATAATACATGCGCATGTATGCTTGGCCGTTTATGTAATTCACACCAAAATGAGACTTTTAGGTTTATAAGAAAAAACAAAAAAAAAAAAAAGACCAAACAATTTATAAGATCATTATTTTAAATTTATTAGTGTTTCACCCTGATATTTTTCAAGCTAATCTCATGTGATTAAATCTTAAGTCTCCTTGACCTTTGCTAATCCCCTCTATCTAGGCATGTAATAATGGCCCGACCTTGGGCCAGCCCAAGTGGGCTTCGCGAGCTCTCGCCTTTTTAGCGGGCCGGGCCAAAAAGCAGGGCCCAAGCCCAAACCCACTCATAATAGGGCCTAAGGCCGCGGGCCCAGCCTAGTCGGGTTTTTTTTTAATTTTTTTTATTATTAGGAATAAAAAAATTTAAAATAATTATATTAGAATATTTTAGTTAAGATTAATGAGATGTTTTGTTTGGTTATATAATGTTTCATGGTGATATTTAAATTTAATTATATATGACTTATATTTTTTTTAATTATGAACTTATAACTTAAAAAGTATACAATTATGTAATTTTTTTCTTTTGACATGAATAATTTTATATGTATGAAAATGAAACTTTCAATATTACAATATTAAATTAATTATATGACATTTATTGAATGAATAATTTTTATTTCAAAATGAAATAAAATATTACAAAAAACGATATTATTAAATAAATTAGGTGTAGATATTACTGATGATGGTAGATCAATTGCATCACTATAGATCAAGTACATCCCAACTAGGTTGACACCTACTAGCCTACAAATCATTTGCATTATACTCCACCTCAATAATCTAATACGCAAAAAAAAAAAAATGAAATGAAATAGTAAAAAACAAATTGTTGATCAATCATCGGAGGAGACAGACATTTCAGTCGCGTTGCCCAAGGACATTCCATCCAAATCATTTTGAATTAGCCCTTTTTCACTATAATTTTGTCTTCTTGTAAGCGCATGCATATGATCTCTGGATATCATTAGTGCCTCAACCATTTCGGGTGAAAGCCTGTTCTGGTAATCGCTCAGCACCCGTCCACCTGCACTAAAAGCTATTTTTGAAGCAATTATAGAAATAGGAACGGTTAGTATATCACGGGCCGTCTGTGAAATTAGAGGCCACACCACATTATAATGACCCAAAAAAAAAATTAAAAAAAAAACAAATAAAATAAAATAAAATAAATGTGGTGGTGATTGTTTAGCGTGTATGGTCAGCATGAGGATAATGTTTTTGGGGTGGTGGGAAATTATTTGAGAGAGAGGCTAAGAAAAATTTGAGTGGGAAGGATTTTTATAATATATATCTCTCACATTAGGAGAGTGGTTACATTCCAGTTGGGGCTTGCTTGTTTTCGGTGGGAAAATGATTAAAAAAGAAGAAGATAGTTTGTAGAGAAAAGGTGGTGTGGTCTACTAAAACAAAAGAGGAGGTGCAATCAGTGTTATCATTCCTCAAGAAGACCATGAAGATGGACATCAAAACTCTTCCATAATTCCCAAACAGAAGTGATTTTTTTGGTGCATAGATTAACACTAGTTCTCATGGAGTACTCTGATAATAAAAATCATGCAACCAAATTTGTGAATGACCTTGAAATAATAGAAGAAAAGGCAGCAGCAGAAGGAGAAGTCGGAGCAGGAGGAGAAATCGAAGAAGTAGGAGGAGAAGAACAAGAAAAAGCTGGAGGAGAAGGAGAACAAGAAAGAAAGCTGAAGGAGAAAGACAAGGAGAAGGAACAGAACGAAAACAAGGAGAGAACAGGAATATGCACTGGAGATACATACCACTCCTCAATGCTGCACTCAGGGGAGACTAGAATTCCGCCGAAAGATTCTTCGACCAAGATGCAGATGCACTCACTGCCCATATTAATTATAGAAAGCAGACAACACTTCACATAGCAATTATGAGTGGAAGGTCAATCGGCAGAGGCTCTGGTACAGCCTGATAATGATGGTATGATTTCCCTTCACGGTGCTACAAATATCGAAAACACCAAGGCTACGGCTATCCTCGTAGAGAAGTACCCTCACTTCTTATATTTTCTCTCCGACGTTAATTGGTTACTACTACACTATGCTACTAGAGCAGGACATAAGGACACCCTTTTGTATTTATTGAGTGTCAC